TCCGACAAACAAGCACTTAATCGATGTTGGCGCTTATACAGCATGGGAATCAATTGTAGGTGATGGTAAGAAGTTTAGTATTGCATTTGATTAAAATTTAAAGTGGCTACTATTCGGGGTGTTCCTTGACACTTGAGAACTGGGAACCAAGCTGTGTGACCGACCAGCGAGATCCGTCAGAATGAAGTGCTTTTCTCAGCAAGCCAAATATGCACCATCGGCCAATTGAGTATGTTTGACCAGACAACATGCAGCTAGTGTGGATGCGAACTGGTCAGTTTTATTTCTTCAAATTATTGACCATCCGCCAATTCCCCAGACGGGTTTTTAATGATTCCAATAAGCGTAAAATAAAACGTCACGCCGAACGGCAAGTTCTGTGATGCCGGCCGACTTTTCTGAATAGGACGTGGTGATTAAATCATTTTATTGTAATATTCCGGCAATATGGGCGGGGGTTGTTTCCAATGGGCTCGCTATAATCAGCGTTGATTAATTAGGTTTCATTAGAGAATACTGCGCTGGTCGCTCGCACATGCGGCTTAATTATGGACTCTTTTGTATTCGGAAGGGTTTGTGCGCGGCGCAACCCGTATGGTCTCAAGGGAATGGACGCGGGTGATTTTTTCCCGCTTTGGCGCTACTGTGTGCTACGGGGCAACATCCCGTTTAACTCTCGTGTCCAGCCGGGTTTAAGTGTGCGCCAATCGATGCGCAGTACAAAGCGAGGGATCGGTAATGAATTTTTAATTTGTATCGCTTGTTGTTCACTTGGTCAAGAAGGATGAATGGGTAGCTCGAAAGGCAAATACTGTAGCATGTATTTGCATACTTAAGTAACCCAGATGGTCGTTCCTGGTTACCCAAAATCATAATTTTTTCCTATTCCAGTTTTAACACTCAAACACCACAATCTTTCAGAATTTGTTAAAGGTGTGTGAAATCAATTTTCGTTCACGGGCGTATGGGAGGGCGTTATGGTGGCCCCCTGCGCGCGTAAGTGATGGAAAGTATCAGCTGTCCAGCAGATTTTGCCGGAGCAATATAACGACGGGGTATCCGCACCTATTAACGATTGTTTAAAAGAGGAAAAACGCGCCATGTTTGTAATGTGTCACAGCCACTTTATTCTGATGGGTGGAACGCTTGACCAGATTTTCACTGGCTAATTCCCGTGAGGGAAACGGATGTAAATTTTGTCTCATTTGTCTTGGCGGCTGCATTGTCACATGGCGCAGTGTTTAGGATCGGAAATCAGTTTATGAGCATTACTTGTTACTATTTTGACCTATATATTTTCCATACTGTGTCAGCACTTTGTTTGTGTGCAGATCAATTGATAAATTCGAGCAGGTGGTTATGCGCTCGCATATACGTAATTTACAGTGCGGAAAAACAGCACCGCAGAAGTACATATGCGCGTAGTGAGTTTGTTTTCTCCTCAAGGATTTACAAAATATTCACGAGTCTATGAGAAAATAGCGCTTTTGTTTATGTAATAACAAAGCGATGCGAGGGAAACGGCCAGTAATCCTTCCGTGAGTGGGTGTTCAAGCAGCGTCGCCTGGAGTGGTGTGGTCACACGCCCGGGTGCAGAATATGGTTTACAGGATGATTACGAAGATTTGTGTTGAATTGGCTGGGGCTTAATGAAGCGCGGTAGCAGATGTATTAAAAGGTAGAACTAGTGACCTGTAATTGTTAATGGAAAATCAGTTAAACTAGGTGGAATTCAGCATGCTTTTAAATACATCGGGCATTCTCTCCCTGCGGCGGCAGCGCCGGTTAGATGAAGCGCACGTCCTTGGCGTGCGTGAGTTGCATTAAAAGTATTAAAACCGGGGGATTTCCTGCACAGAGAAGAGAAAATCCGACGGGGGATTAAATGCCGACCCTATGCGACCGTTGGGGATTTTGTGGGTGCACCCTGCATCCGTCGATAATCGTTTGTTGGCCAACATAACCTTAACATCACAATTCTTTGTTGGCTCGTAAATCTGCCGGCTTCGTTTACGATTAATATGTATGGCATTGTTAATAATTTTCTTTCATACTTCTTGGCGACCTTATAGTTTTATGAAATCAAAACTTCTGAAAGCAGGTATATCTGTAAGTTATCCCTGTCCCTTGCTAAAATATTGATATACACAATTTAAATTTGGTGGCGATATTACACAGGGATACCGTGAATGATATTTGCAGATTATTTTCATATAAATTAAGAACGTAAAATATCAGATGTTCGGTTATTCTGGACGGACCGTCATCACTGCCTGCTTTTACCTCTAAACTTCTTTCCGTTCATTTCGGTAAAATATCTTGCAAAATTGACGACATTCTTATTGATAATGTGCCATAACAACACGGGTGCGCTCGTTTGCTCGATGAGATTTAGTAAGCAGGTTAGAATATCTGTGCCTGTCTTTGGATGGTATTCTTTTCTAGTGTCTGCGCTTTTAACGCTTGACTGGTAAAACCAACAGTAAAACTTGTTGGGCATATTTTTCTACCATTATAATCAAATAGCCCTAACGCTCTTATTTTGACAAGATATATGTGTAATGTGTATAACGACGGTGGTATTGAAAGCGAACAAGCCAAGTGGAGAAAAGGGTCTCAATCAGTATAATTTTTCCTACCGGATCAGCACCACGTAATTACACTCGTAGTTTTTCTTTTGAAATTCAAATACAAATGATGTATCGTGGTGCGGTCGTGCTTTTACCTGCCGGAAGCTAATATGATAGTGGGTTAACCTGTGTGCACGTGTGATTCTTAATGGGTGAGCGGGGTGAGCATGGTTATTGATTGTTTTCTACCGGACACTGCATGGTCCTTTTACAACAATATTGGCTTCGCTATGCATGATTAATATACAACGTGATTATATGTTTGCAATAAAACTGTCCTGTCTGTGTAAATAAATCAAATCCCTTCCTAAGCCGCTTAGGGGTCTGCGGCACGGATTTGGGTTAATGAGCTGGTGAATAATTGCTTGTGCAGAGCCTTGGCCACATACAAAGCACTATACCTAGAAACGATCCCTAATTTTTTCCTTATTTGCGATGACCTGTCCCGTCATTGCTTATTCGATAATGTTACCAGAATGTGCTTACCGGTTAAAAAGCGGGACCGAAATTTCACAACCATGTTTTCGTGTTACATCTTTGTAAAAATACGGTGCGAAAATTAAAATTTATGTGTATTGAAATCAAAAATTAGTTTTATTAAATTCGAAAGAAAACGTCCCTATCGATCCTTTAGGGCGCAACAGCGTTCAGCATAGGAGCTACTGATTAAAGTGGAGCATTGGTCTAGTCAATACTTCATAGAGAAGGATTTCAAGGGAATGCGATAAGTTGCGGATGAGGACTCTTAAATATATTATTGATAAAGATCGAGTTAAGACCGCGATGATGGATTTATACGGTAGGTTTTTAAAATTTACTTAACCCGTATCGAAGTTCAAGTGGTTCTCGCCGGCTGACCATGGGGAAACCTCAGGTTTTGTCATGCGGCAAGTATTGGTTTCTGGACCGGAATTATGGATGATGCCATCCAATTTCCTTTTTCTTGTGCCGCCACGTTTAGGGCGTTGGTCAGTGTAGTCGGCAGTGTAGATGTGTGACCAGTGCGGTACAATCCGGTTTTATCCCGCTAGCATTCGATCCCGGAAAGTGTTGGTAATTGGAAGCTTGTAGCTTTTAGCCTGATTTAGCCGATCAGGTTACACTGCGGCATGCACTGGACAGTAGAGTGCTTTACTGTACCTCTACGGGATCTGAGAGTGTGTGTGGGGGATTGGGAAGGGGGAAAATATTTCCATTTTCGTTGCATGTTGACTCGACCTCAAGTACTTTGTGATCCCCATCTAATCGGGCTGGAATATTTGTACAAGGCTAATTACCGTAGTCCACTGGTCAACTGCAGCCGACGACGGCATTCTAATTGCTCCAATGTATCAAATGCAAAGTCCCGGCACGTGTCTAGCTTCATCAAAGTATTAATGAGCTTGCATCGCTGTCATTGTACTTTTCAGTCATTCTATCGAGAAACGAGAATACATTGCTTCGAAGCTTTCCATGAGCTGTAGTTGAAATTTCGGGTGTTTTCACCATCAGAAAAATATAACTCACGATTTACGAGAACTGTATACGTACAATTGATTTAACATGAATACTTAGCTTTGCAATAGATATTTGCTTGGTGTACTTTTTTGTGCAGCAGTGCTCGAAGACATGGACAAAATCAAACAAAATTGTTGTTGAATAATTTTAAAGCATTGAAATACTGCGCGAACGACTGGAACATTCACTGCGTTCTTGGTCTCGGTTTTCGTTCCAGAAAACAGCGACAGAAGGTGACTGATAACCGTAGTGAAGCAGAACAAGAATTGTTCTGTTATAAAACTTGACTGCCATATAGTCTGATTATTCATCCCAGTCGATTAGCAATATCGGGCACAAAGATTTCCACTCATCTTCAGCGTTATGCCCACACCCTGCTGTATACAATACCGGTTCATCCAGCATGCTGTCAGGAAAAGTAATATATTTCATAGGAACATCTGTAGTTTAAGCGCTGTCGGTTAAGAGTTAACGCGTGTTGGGTTAATTGTTAGATGTTTACGTGTGCTTGACTAGTTCACTGAACGGGGATGTGGCGGAACGGAGGGGGTCGTGTGTGCTGCCCCGGTCCTGAAGAATCACTTCTCCACCCTCGTCCCAGTTGGTGGACGACGGCTAGCATATGTCCAGTGATGAATTTAGTTCAGTTTAAATATGACTACCTGGTAGTTAGAGCAGGATAATGTGTTTTCAAATAAGTGGTAGTCTGACGAAGGGTTGTCATTAGGAATTATGGATTATTTTCTCCTAATTCTTATCATGCTTCCCAGTTTTCTTTCCACCTGGATAAGCTGTGTAATGGGTACATCTTACCGGAATCTCAGAATTTTGCTTGGATTTCCGTCAGACGTTTTAAAGTTTTTTGTTTTGCAGCTGCTCAAAATGACCCGAAATTAGTCCTCCAGCCCGCAACCGGAAATCTCACTACAGCCATCGACAGCGATCCCTTTATAGAATGTACTGTCCAACCGCAGACCGCCAAAGGCGCCGTGGCCAACGTCCGCTGGCTGGATCCAGAAGGCAATGAAATCGGCGATAAAGGACTTAATAACAGGTATGCTGTAATCGCTCAATATAAATTGGTTCTGGTCATCAACGATATAAATTGTGAAGCTGTTTGCCCGGCGGTTAAAGAAAAACTGGCTTTTAAAAAAAATAAATTGGCGGTTAAAGAAAATTAAATGCTGAATTTTTGCGAAATATCTGCTATTGTCGCTGTTTATTTTATTTGTGAATAAAATAAAATGTTTTATTAATTTCACAATGTCGGAAAATGTGCAGCGGCATATAGAAAAGAAATCTTGTAAATGGTATTCGTTAAAATATTTATTTATTCATCGTAGAAAGTACACAAAGAACGCATTTGGTGGAACTTTCGGGCGTAGTCTGAAATTCTTCAAAGGCCAAAAGGACGATTCCGGCCTGTACAAGTGTGTGGCAGATTTCTACGGTCACGACCGTCTGGAAACAGGAGTGTATGTGGTATTCTATGAGGATATCAAATTCGAGGATGCCCCGACGCTGCAGCATCCCCTTTTGAACACTGCTGGTAAAGTTCGTTGTCTGGTCAGCGGCAATCCGGCACCCATCGTCGAGTGGTGGCACAATCAGGCCATTGTAACATCCGGTAAGACAGCGGTAAACAGGCGTGTCGTGATGCCGTTAGTAATATGGTAATGGCGTCGATTAACGGTGTATTCCTCGGGGATGCGATGTTTATGCGGTAATGCTGATGAGCAGGTGGGCGATATCGTGTGGAAACGGATGGATTGGTCATCGAGGATATCGGGGTGGAGGATAATGGTGAATATACTTGCACTGCCGCTGTGCCGGAGATGGGCCGGAGCATCGAAAGACAGATCAATGTGGAAGTTCACAGTAAGATACGTATTCTTCATCAGTTTACGGTCATATCCAGATGGTTAATTATTGAATAGATAAGTAATAATTCTGAATAATGTTTTTAGTGTGTAATCAAGAACCGTTTGCAGAACACAGCTTGCATTTTTGGGAAATTGTAAATATTACTGAAACGATCCAAAATTTAAATTTCAAAAAAACAACCGACATCTTTCCGTTCGAGTACTACTACTACTAGTGCTTACCTTATAAACATATTTGTGTAAGTATGTATTGTATGGATATTTAGTTATGGAGTAATGGCGAAAATAGATTACAATTATTAGAATAAAATTTTGATACTGGGAACAAACAGTTTTCCGCCCAACGGCTGTCTTTGCTGTTTGCGAATATTGCGAATTTCTCTGTCCAGGTTAATAGGGCGTAACAAGTTCTGTATAGCGCTTGTAGTTTTAGAATGGTAATGATTTTAATACCTATCTTTTCGATATTTATAAGGATGCTTTCTCGTAGGTGCACCCGAATTTAAAGCTGACGGCTTACCGAAACCAGCCCGCGGTTTGGAAGGTCGCAGTGCCAGTATGGAATGTGAAGCTACCGGCATTCCGATGCCAGAAATCAAATGGATTTTCGTTCCTGTAAGTATAGTCAAATTGAGTTGAACATTTTGAGAGCTTATTGTTTAGTAACTTTTCCAAGTGCAGCTATTTTTCATAAATACGAAAATTTATTATCTAGAATGGCGAAGATGTGACCAAGCTGGAGCACGACGAACAGAAAACACGCCGTCACACCGTAGATCCTGTAACTGGGACCATGAATATCAACGATCTGAAGAAAGTGGACCAGGGTCAGTACAAGTGTATGGCCGAGAATGCCGCCGGTCGCAAGGAAGAAACCGCTGAGCTGTTTGTTGCGGAGAAGCCCCGTTTCGACGTGGTGACTAACACCACCATGCATGAGAACAAATCAGCGACCATCGAGTGTACCGTGCGCGGAGATCCCGCTCCCACCCTTCGCTACATCCGCGAAGGCACGGAACTGCCCATTACGGCCGACACCGATCCGCGTTACGTGTTGGTGGAAAATGAGCGGGAGTTGCGGTTAACGATCAACGATCTGCAGCGGAGTGATGATGGACTGTACACGTGTGAAGCATCCAATGAAGCCGGTGTGGAGACGAAGGCCTCGCACATTACGGTGCAGTTTGCGCCGTCCTTTGCTAACACGCCAATGCACGTGGCCAAAACGTGGATGGGCAACCTGGAAGCGGTGAATATCACGTGTATTGCCGAGAGTATTCCCAATGCGACGATTCGGTGGCAGCAGAGGATTATCAATTCACCTCATCATCTACCTACGAAAGATATCACAGAACAAATGGAGCAGGATGGTTATAAAATCGAAAACCGTGGACCTTCTAGCAGTCTACTGGTAAATATTCTTGGAAGCGCATCGCATGCAAAATATCTTGAAAAATGTTGGTAAATTGAAAATTTTCTAGTAACAGGCTACATATAAAAAAATTGGTGGGATTGCAGTTAGAGCCTTTTTATTTGATTATTTTTTGTTTAGGTATCCGCTGTGTCTTATGACATTTTTGGAGAATATCTCTGTATCGCCAGTAATGAACTGGGCGAATCGACCCACGTTGTCCGACTTCTCCAGGCCACGGTGCCTAAACCCATCGCTTCCGTGCGGGTGGAGGAACTGACAGCCACCACTGTGCGATTCGAGATTATCAGTCCCAATGACGACGAAAACTTAATATTAGAAGGATATGATGTGTTTTATATAAAAGTGGCAACCGAAGAAAACTTCCAGCAAGCGCCAGCGCGTAGCTGGCCCATCGGTGTGCCCTACACTGTTGAGGGTTTGGAGCCGGGTCGCAGCTACCGATTCCGTTTCTATCCCAAGAACAGAGTCGGCGTGGGAGCCGCTTTCGATAAGGAAGTTAGTATGCCGGAAATCGGACCGCCTCGACCGCCGACTTTCCTTCCCAATGGAAATGACACCTCGGGTGAAGCTACCCGGTACCGTCTGCAATGGCAGGAACCGAACGATAACGGAGCGAAGATTGTTGAGTACAAGATCACGTACTGGAAGGTAATGATTGCAGAAAAACAAGGAAGTGAAGTGTGAATAATAGAACCAAATGAACCTTTTATAAACAATTTTTGTAGAAAAATAGATTAATAGATGTATAAAAATACCTTGTAGTTACTGGAACAATTGCGCATGGGCATATAGATATAAGTATTAATGCAATATAAGTATCGAGAGAAAAATCCATTCAAGTTTGGCCAATGAATTTCGATTTCCGTACTGAGGTACTTCATCGCTGGGTTGTGCGGTTTAAATATTTTACATCACAGAAAATATCACAACTCTTTTGGTAACCGTAGAGTAGCACACTGTAAAAACGTTCTACCCACTTCTGGCATTTATTTTCTATTGTGTCAATTCTCGATATGCGTACTCTAAAGGAGTCTCTATCCAATGCTTTTATGCTGCTGGAACTTTGGTGCCATTTGTAGGTCTTTTATCACTTTATTTCACTGTTGAAATAATTTTTGAAACCTTTTTTAGGCATCTGAAGGTAGAGAAGCTTCCCGTGTTGTAACAACCCGTGCACCTGCCAGTTCCTACGTGCTGACCGGTTTGGAAGGAGGGACCACGTACCAAGTGGAAATTGTAGCGCGTAACGAGCGGGGATTCAGTGCCCCTCTTGAACTTTTTTTCACAACTGGACATGGTAAGCACCGAAGAATTGTTGGAATGTGTGTTGCTTTCCCCGTTGCCTGCTGCATTTGTTGTTTGACGCATTGCTTTGCTTGTTCCCCCGCGCTTGGCTTATAGGTCGCTTTTCATCGCACGCTTTGAGCTCCGGTAAGTCGATTATTCCGATGTCCGATGTGTTCCCCTTTAATTTATTTCACAGTCCCGCTTGTTGCGTAGCTTGTGCTGTTTTTCAGTTTTGTATAGATTCGCTTGTACATTTTTTGAAGTTATCATTGTACGTTGCAGCTCAAGGATTTCACAAAATTGACCCGGTGGAAGGTGATGTACAGTTGTCGACACCGGTTATAATTGGAATTGCCGTTGCGGCAGGATTATTACTCGCCTTAATTATTGGTAAACAATCATAACACCCAAGTTCACAATTTTTAGCCATAACAGAAATTCTGATTATTATTTGTTTGTATTTTGCAGATTTAACCTGCTTTTGTACGAGACATGCCGGTTTGACTCACTGGCTGGCCACTCGTCTTTGTGGAAAATCAGAGAAACTCAAAAATCATGATGTAGAAAATATTCGCCATACAGAGACGTAAGTTGCGATCAATCGGGCATGTTTGTTGCTTGACAATGCTTTCTAATAAACCGTGCTGCATTGGGCTTCGTGTTGGGCGTATTGGTGTCCTGTTGATTGTGCTTGTGTGGGTGGTGCATCGCTTGCGAAAAATGTCTCCGCGCTTCGCAAACACATTTGAACACGAATGGATTGTGTTAAAAACCTTTTTATAGCGAAATAACACGAGAAGAAAGAGAACCTCTGACCACACCAAAACAAACAGCCACATACGTCAGAACCACGACGACCTTTAAGGAAGAGAAAGAACCGGAAGATAAACCCTCGCCACAGTAGTTCCTGAGTGACTGGCTAATATTTTCTGTAGTTTTCTCAACATGTAAGGAAAACTAACGCCCTCCTCTCCCTCCTCATAAATTCTTTGGGATTTTGTTTCCTTTCCGTGCACGTGACACCCTGTTACTAATACCAACCGTTATCTTATCTTACGAATTAGGGATCAGTAATTCATTTGCAATATATTAAAATTAATTTGCTGTTTTGTAGTGATCAAGTGGATAAAGCATCTTCGTATCTCATATTCAGCAATTTGGCATATCACGATAGTAATAAGCAGAATGGATCTAACACGGCCAACCGAACACAAAGCGACGACACGAATCTGTACGAACGTATCGCGGATTCGGGATTCTGCGAGGGCGATGAGCAGGGCAGGTATCAAGTGGGTGCCACACGGTCCTTGTCCATGGGCAGCCTGGTCCAGTTGGAAACCGATGTATAGTTGTTTTGCTCTTCTGTTTTTTTAATCAGTGTCGATTGTCTCCTTTATAAATCTCCACGTTATTACTTTTGATTGCCTTTTGTTGCCCCCGCAAATGCCCCGTTCCTGTGCGCATCTCAGTGGTCAACATGTTATTTAGTTTAAACATTGCCTCTAGAGAGACGTTTTTCTCGGAAAATGATTTAGTGTGATATTTCTTTGGTTATGTTTGTGCCGGTCTCTGTCTACGGCCCTGAACGGTATTGTTGTATGTTGTTTTTTACATTTCGGTTTTGAACATGAGTACTTCTATAAGCAATGTATTATGTACGGTTTAAAAAGAATCTCTTCAGCATGATGGATATATGCGCCGGTTGCGACGTGATCTGTAAGATAGTACTTTTACTCCGAAAACCCAAAATTAGTACAAGTAACATGGATTGTCGGATCGCTTTGATATATTGTCAAGAAATGTGCTTTCGGTGTTTTAGAACTAACGCTGTAGCATGCTGTGGATGCATACCATCTGCAGAAGCGGCTTTTTGATCGTTACAAAGCAAAAAGTAAATTTAATTAAATTTCCGTGTAAAATTATTTGAAAATACACATAACATTTAACGATTAAGACCTGCTAGATTTTCCTGTACGATAGCATCATGAATGTCTCAATACTACTATTGACAACTATAACGTAACCTATTCTAGATCGAAGAATTTAACCATTGAATATGTAGCAGTAGTATTCGGATGACTTTGGTTCCTGGATGGATGGGGAAATTATTGAGCTCATAAGCCGTAATCACAGGATCTGCTACATCTTGTACGGGTAAGTGAGTCGACTCACGTTACCAAATGTCAAAATTTCCATTTCAGTTCCCACAAGCCATGCGCGCATAGCTTCGCACCATTTCCGGCGATTAAATGCAACTTTTCCACATTTTCTTCCTGTTTATCGATTACGCTTACCGCACACAGGAGGGCTTAGCATTTATTTCGAGCAACGCTTTCCTGGGGATACATTCTGTTAGCACTTACGACGTAACAGTACAAAAAAGTGCGGGTTGACACTCCCTGCCGTCCCCGGCGCTGATCCCGAAACGGGCATTACAGTAGCAGCGGCATATACACAGTCTTCACTGTTGCTAATAATTGACTTCGTTATTTACCGCAACCTTACAGTTTTTGATTGTGTGTTCTACGTCTTTCGATACAACAGTAATCGTAAACTTTCCAATTGAAAAAATTTGAATTTGCCGATTAAGCGTTGAAGTAAGTACAAATAAAGATGACCTCCAGCAACTACCTATCATAAACAATTAAGTGCAGCAAAACCGTGAGCGAACGCAATTGCCGTCGGCGTCGGGTAAAGTTTTTACGTTCTGCTTAAAAGAACACTGTGGACGTGGGACTGCGGTTACGAAAAATTACTATAAGAGATTTCGGTTTCTGTTGTGGACAAGAATCGAATGGTCAACCACGAAGGTTCAAGAGTAGCTGCTTTTTGTTGCATTGCGCTGTTTTTACTGCTCGTTTGCGGCGTCGACTATAACCAATGTACAGTGGACCGGTTACTGTAAATACTAAATAATAAGCAGGTTGCGGTATCAACGAAGGGGTACGATTGACGATAGAATTAACGACGGAGTACAATTAACGGACGTTTAAACGGCAATACCCGTCGTTATTAACGAAACGAAGGGGGTATCGTTTCGTTAATAACGACGTTGAAATTCAGTAATGAACGACCGGGCCCACATACACCACTGAGCACGAAGACTGCGCAGGCGAGACAGTCTACCCAGTAAATTTCTGCCTGGGCATTCAATCCTGAGTTGTCCACTCGACTCGAATTTTCGAAAATCGTACCAGTTTCGACGTTTGCACTGCTGTCATTTATTTTTTTGCTAGTTACATTGAAAAGAAAATAATTTGCCTTTTCATAAATGTAAAAATCATTGCAAAAACTAATACTTTACTGTTGCAGCAATGTGCTATAGCAACTCTGTAGCCTGTGCTGTGCATATTCACCATCTTTCAAGTGCAACAGCGAGTCACGCATTCCAGAATGGAATGACAGTTCTGTTACTTCTGTATAACGTCTGTGCGGAAAACTCAAATCGCATTTCCTTCTAACGTGTTTGTACCACATAAAAAAATCTGCATTTTGTTATTTTTGCGCTGGTAAACGAAATTGTTTTGACATTGGTACAAAATATTGAGCGGAGACCGTCTGATACAATCATGGTTCCTCACGTTAATAGCAGGAGCAGTAAACTGCTTAGTTTATAACGCAACCTCTTATTCCAATCAACGGCACATTAAATTAACAACGTTAAAATCGTCGTTAATTTTGCCGTTAATCGCAGGGCCGTGCAAAACGCAACCTACTTAATGCTTCTATTTTGTAACAAATATTTGAGATATGTGTATATGTGTGTAGGTACTTGTACAAATCAAATTTTTGAATTCATAGTTACAATAATATTAATAATATTTGCTATTGTTGGGGTAAATGCGATAATTTTTATATTCACTGTTTCCAAAAGCTGCAGTCGCATACGGATCAGTACCAGTCAGTATACGATTTCACTCGATTTGTAGCATCAGCTTTTGGTGGATCATTATCAATATTATTGTTTCGCTTCGGTATTAAATTAGCATGAGATAAAACTACAGGAAAAAGGCGCAGATTATTAAATTTGACAGGCTTTAGGGCCTTAGGCAAACAAACGCTAACGTACCTCGACATACTGTATCTGTAATTCAGAGTGTTTTATTTATATTTAAAAATGCTCATTCTTTCTTATTAGTTCCCAACTTCCTGTGACCAGTGGCTGGTGGCATAAACTGCTGTTGTATCCCTTTTCACGTAACTGCCCAAATGGAGATAGGGCCACGAACGCTGTGTTTACGTCATATTGGTCAGTCAGCGCTGCGCCGCTAGCCAAACAGGATAAGGCACTCGTTGCTTACTACCGCGGGAAATCGCACCGGACTATCTGTTCAGCGCTCTGGGATTCGAAACCATTGGACCCTTCCGGCCGGCACCTACCCGCTTTGAGATTACCGGAAATGGGTAAAAACTTTAGAAGATCTGGCATTTCTTGCCAGACCTTCTAAAGTTTTTACCGGCGAGGCACCCCGGTCTAGAAACGGAATATTTACACCAGCATATCACATACAAGTCCAGCGTGGGAACACGGCCTCCGATTAGGGAACATCGGCAGATCCACTGTTTTCCGATTTTAGACCGTCTTCACTATAGTTTGCTGACTCCATGTGCTGCGATATTATACTTAATAGTTTTTATATTTTCGTGCGTAGTATTAGTGAGATACGTTCGTAAAAACGTGGCTACTGGGTGCCCCGGTCAGTTGTAAATTTGTAATACCGGCTAACAATAAAGAGCCGCATAGAGACAGCACCGGCAGCTTTGCCGCCTTTCTGATTCATCCATTGCTCAGCACGGTCCCGCCCCTTTCTCATTGATTTCCATCAACGGCCAGCTCCTCCCGCTGACAAATCCTATCGCTTCCTAGCCCCGCTTAGTCTTCCTTCGACCTGACATGTGCACTTTGGCTAACCGTAATAATTGTAAAGCATCGTCTCCTTGAATCCATCACCGTTAGCCCGAGAAGGTTTTTGCGTCATTCCACATATACAAGTATTAACACTACAGTGTATATTTCGTGGTACTGTGTTATCCAATACATCCTCTCATACCCCGCTCGAACAGCGTGGAATAACGGCTGACACCAGTAGTTGCGCGCCTGCACATTGTCGAGCGCGAGATCAATGGTAAGCCAACTCCAAAAACATTCCCGTTAATTATCCCATCGTTGTCCTGGTTTTCCCTACTCCACGTCTCTCTCATTCACCGACTACCGATTACAACCTGCCCTCTGTCTCTTGTGCTCTCTCGCGGCTACCCGGCTATAAATATAGCCTCGTCGATGCGCGGCTAACGTGTAAGCGCGCACCTGGAATTATCTCCTTCAGACTGTATTTATATGCCGATTCCTTTACTCAAGCACATCGTCTCCGCTTGACTGATGCTTTAATATACAGCCGCTCTTCGGTCGCAGTTTTGGAAAAATATAGTCGTGCACTCCCATTGACAACCATGGACAGACTGAATAGGATAACGCTTTATATTTCTCCGTTAATCCTCCTCCTTTCATTAGGTAAGTTGTGTGTAAAAGTACTAGTAACGGCACGCTACACTGGCATGTAAAGAATTTTTAGCATTTTTCTCTTTTACCGTACAACATGTTTATTTTGATTTTTCTAACGACGGCCGTTCGGTGAGAAAAATGGTCAGCATGTGCACTTGAAAATTGGCCATGCGGCATAGCTTTGATGAAATACTTGGGAAAGCGGCCTGGCATGTCAAGTACACTTTCTCCGGTTCACATAGTAAAAATTGTCTGACCAGCACCTACGCGCGATGCGTCTTAAAATGTAGGTGGTGAAGGATATAAAAATACACACTGACCGCTGGCCGAATACTATGTCGTCTATTCATATAACCAACGGTCGGACATATATAAATTTTGCCTGGTTGCCGGGTCTGAATGGACCGGCTTAATGAAACCTGCCGTAGCCAGTGATTGCCGAATGTGGGGCTGGAATTATTTGTTCAAGTCTTGAATGTAACATTAGAATACAAATGAGAATAATGCTATTGAGAATTGCGTGTGAGTTGGCTGCTGCAAGTGTATTATCCCGTGGCTTGAGTGGTCAAGTCTGCTTCGAGTCTTTTGGTGGTGGACTACACAGTGATGTGCAGCAACCGGTGACGACGAAAGAATACATAATTTACTCGTGATGGACCGATAAATGGAGGAGTGGGCCGAATGCAAACGTGCAAAGTGCTCCTTCCATTTTCTCTCGTCTTCTTGACTTGCTTGGAAAAATATTTCTTTGAAATTCCCATGAATTTTTCTGCGGATATGTAACAATAACGAAGTGTGACTGTTAACAACACTTTACGAAAACAGCAGGATTATTGACTTTGGTGTATTTCGGATCTTTTTCGGTCCTAGAAGGGCTAAAAGCTGTATCGATATAATTGCAATTTTGGTCTGATTATTATTTTCTTCCAGTATGTATTTTTCGTTAATTTTCTTATATGTACCGCATTCGTGCTGTTTCCAAAACGTATGAAGAATATTCTGGGATTTTTCTTTAATTAAAATTTATGAATAATTTTTTGGGATTTCCTTTGATCGCAGTTGTTTTTTTAACAAACACGAATTAAGCTAATGATCACGTTTACAAACGGAATTATCGTAGCTTACCCGGCATGAAATGTTGCATAAATTTCTTGCGCAAATCATGCCGATCAAAATAAACATAACACGCACCGGGGGTGTGCCACGTGATCGTGAGGATCAGAAGATGTAATGAGCCTGTTTGGGTGTCTGGAATAGAGGCGGTTATTGTGGGTTAAAGGGTTTGTTTTTCTTACATCCAGCTGCACGATAAGGAAAACACGCAATGCGATAAGCAAAATATGCCGCGCAATGATCGGGATGCGGTGGTATAAAGTGGTCAAACGCTCACTCTGTTTCCCCGCAACGTTTTTGTGTCCATTGGCCTTGATCGGAAGAATACCGGCACCAGCGGCATTTGTTATCTCATGCGAAGCCACAAATATTTCTGCGGTTTTTTCGTCGTGATTATTACGGTGTTCGTTAACGGGTTTACATAAAGCCGGCATTGTACACTATTTTGTTTGCTCTCCAAACCGAATTAGTGAAGGGGTGCAGTTTTTTTCCCTATGTGCATGTCAGTTTAGACGCGCGCACATTGCGAGTTGTAATGGTAGCGTAAAACCATTGTTATCGATCGATCATGCGTGTGTGTAAATGCGTAACGTATGCGCTCGTAATGAGTGATCGGTGCTACGGGTGATTCATGTAAAACTCAAGGTCAATTTTTACTCGGCTAATTTGTCGCGTTGTGTTGACACATACATAACTGCGAGTATGATTTTTTCATGAACGTAATCAGGTATAATTTCATAGCTGCTGTGATAAATTCAGTAGCTAACGGTTTTTGCGTGTTATTCTGGCGGGTAATGTTCCTAATTTGGCTATTAGCGCCCTGAAAATATGCTTTTCCTGTTGGCTGTTTCGGGTTACATAACACTTATCGATCCGTCCTCTCCACGCTGCGAAGGGTTTTCATCGCAAATGGCAGCGTGGTTTTTTTTCGGGGCGGATAAGCAAAGCGCCCGGAGGAATGATAGCTTGTGCTTGATTACACTGCGCGCCAAGAGTACTTGCATAGTCAATAGCTTAATTAAATCGATCGTCCAGTTTTGACAAAGAAGCTCCTTTCCGGAGTGTTTTCTTGTTGTTACTTTAAAGAGGCGGTTGTTCAAGAATTATTTATGAGTTTACAAAAAAAGGCTTGCGATGAAAAACACCGTTAAAAAAGAAATTTCGTTATTTTCCCACCATATTGACCTAGTGAGAACTTTTGTCCTCCCTTGCACGTTGTTATGCAAGAAAGCGGTGTATCGATTTTTTCCGTGAGGAAAATCTATGGAGCAGTTAAGCTGATAATTCGATAAGACAAGTTAGATAACGAACGGAGCTCTAAGCCGGAATTCTAAATCAACCATCTTTTTTTGGGAAGCATGACGTTGACTTCCCATCCGAGCGATTAATGCGGGAAAATTATTACTCTGCGAATAAATTTTCCTTTTCCAAAATTCATACAGCGCTATCGCTCTTTGTCCGCGGTTTGGCAGAATTTGTCAAGTCAAGATAGAAAAAAAGTGAGTCAGAGGAAACGCCTAAAAGCTTTTACAACGCACCATGGGCAGCCCGGTGGAGCGTAACGACAACGCCGGATGACTTTTCATCAACACTGTCCAAATGTGTGTTTTTTTTCTCCAGCTCTTCCCAGCAACTGACCGTACGGGTAATAATCATTGATACGGGATGTCGTGACAGAATTTCTAACCATGTGCCCACGCTTGAATACACAAACCTTTCGGGGTCAGATGGCCCCGACTATTTAACACCGCTGAAATGGCGATTCTGTTGTGTAGTGCTAATTAAACCCATACACAGCTGGCCGCATTATTGCACTATACTTGACTGAATTGTGCACACAGTTATTTAAATGGCGAATATGTTTTCGGGTAAAAACTGACCCAGCCGGTTCAAATGAGAGTCCAGAGACACTTTTGGCTGGCGCATATGGCCGCACACACACACTGCAGTCACTCGATCACTCCAGGTACAAAAGGGTTATGTTTTGCAAATATCCAAATGCCGCTGTTTGTACCTACGTCCCTGGTTATTGGATACTTAAATATGTCAAAATCGCTCTGTCAAATATTTCGTCAAAACCTTCCACTGGACCACTAGAACACACTGGACCACAGTGGAACAGAAACAGTAAATATGATGTATTGCTGCTGGTATCAGATTTCTTGCGCTGACCGTTCCGTTTCCGCGTGTGCGCAGGTGAACTCATAAGGTGTATGTTTCCGCGGCCTGTAGTAAATCATTTTGTGGAATTTATGTTTGATGGTGATGGCAGTTTGTAAGGGATTTATGACGCTTGTGAAAGCGCTATAATTCCTGATAAGGATTTATGACAAGATCGTTGATATACTCCTATAAATTTGCGGCACATACACGTGTGAATATTTCTTGTTGATCTTTTAAAAAATATTTTTGGTTAAGCATTTATCTATCATTTTCATAACTATGCCGGTACAAAAATTGAAATTTTGAATAATTGCTACCTGCATTCCAGTTGTGCAAATATTTTTTACAAATGTAAATTTTTCGAATTCCGAGTGCCCGGAGTGTCGGATAACGAATTCTTTCGATTTGCGCCGTTAATGATTAAGGTATACGGAATGTCTAGTAGGGAATACCAAAAATAACTTCCTGTCGCGGAAAACGCTCCTTCTATGCTTTTTCTTCAACGCTCCACTTGTAGAGTTTACCTTTTCCTTAAACGTAAGCTGCATTACGGTTGACATAGGAGCGATGTGAGCAGTGGGTGATTTGTTTGCCTATTTGCACAGCACAGACGCGCAGTGTTGTTTTAACGGTGCCAATATCGCACACAGCCATAGGTAGACCGCTGTCGTCTCTCGTGTTGCTTAATATTAGGCGGCAAAAGTAAAACAACAGCGTACAATAAAAACAAACCACAATTGCGGCGCGGCTTCCGCTGGACGCGACACTTGTTTGAAGAAATCTGTCGATTTTGCTCCAGTTTCGGTGCGTATGTACAAATATATATATGCCGGTTGCAGTAAATCAGTCCATAAACGTGACCACTGGTAATCAGTGTGTGAGAACGGGGAAGCTGGTAATCGCGGTTTAAATCCGCCCTCTGATGGACGAATTAACGGCATATAACCAAATTTTGTAACACAGGGAATTTGTAAGAAAAGGAATTGGCCAATTTCAGCATGCGATTTTTAAGAGCAGACGCTTTGTAAAATTGTCATGTTTGGACAGGCCCCGGATTAAGGACACATCATTAGGCCCATGTCTTTTAATGTGTATGTGCAAAAGTACAAGTGTCCAATTTTACATCTTGAGAAGAGTGGTCAGCTATACCGGTTCTTGCCGGCATAGACGTAATATTTCACTCGAAAATTGTAGGAATGTGGTGTTTATGTCGTGGGAAATGTGGTGATATGCAATAAGAAGGACGTAAAAGTTACTTTAAATGCCGGCTGTATGGGCAGTTAAAAATAAGAAAAGCCAAAGTTATTAATCAGTTTCCTTATAGTTAGTTATTCTGCATATATTTAATAATGCAGATTCGCCGAAAATATTTCGTCCCCTATTCCTTTCGTTGCCGGAAAAACGTTTTACTGGGATTATTAATTAGATTAGACCTTTTTAGGTCGGATTTGACATTTTTTAAAATACCTTTTAGGTCGTTATTATTGATTTTCCCGTAAACCCGGAGGGAGAAACTCGTGGTTGTGTGTGTTTTTCGTGTTGATCGAGCGAAACCCAGCCAATAGCTGAAATTTAATTAAGCATTCATGATTTTTTAATTCGACATGTACACGCGGTGCAGTGTGCACTTTGTGGGCTGCTGTGTGTGCGATGTACACTGCTCTTCTCTTTGTAAAAATTCCTTTTCATTTCCACAGATGATTTCAAATGCTTTCTCAGCAGGACAGCTCCAC